TGGAGCAGGTGGACATGCCCTGAAGGAAGTTACAGCTTGTGGAAAGTCTGTGGCGGAGCAGGCTCCTGGTAGGAGCCCATGAGAGGAGTCCATGCAGAAGTAGGTTTTATAGAAGGAACTGTGACCTGTGGGGGACCTACACTGGAGCAGCTTGTTCCTGAAGGACTGTAGCCTGTGGAAAGAACCCATGTTGGAGCAGTTTGTGAAGAACTGCAGTCTATGGGAAGTACTCACTTGGGAGAAGTTCATGAAAAATTGTATCACGTGAGAGGGATCTCACACTGCAGTGGGAGAACAGTGTGAGGAGGAAAGAGCAGCACACATGAAGTGTGATACACTGACCACAAACTCCCAGTCCCTGTTCACCTGTGCTGCTTGGGGCAGAGGAGGTAGGTGTCATGAGTGAGTTGAGCCTCAGAAGAAGCAGAAGTAGGAGGAAAGTGGTTTTGGTTTTGTTTTTATTTCTCAACATCCTACTCTCTTATTAACTGGCAATAAATTAAATTAATTTTCCCTAAGTCGAGTTTTGCCCATTACAATAATTGCTGAATGATCTCCCTGTCACTATCTCAACCCACAAGCATTCTCAGCATATTTTCTGCCTCTGTCCTGCTGAGGAAGGAGAGTGAGAGAGCAACTTGGTGGGCACCTGGTGGCCAGCAAAGGTCAACCCACCACACTGCCACACAGAGAAGGACTGACATCACTGGCCTTGTCACAATGCCACTCTACAAGGTGACACACAGGATTGCAACTTCAGAGAGGCAGCAGAGGTGTGGAGGGCAAAGCTGCGAGGTCATGTTTAACCAGCCAATGTCCAAAATAAAACCTCTGAACCCACATACACAAGCCATGTGTCATCTGAAATTACATCTGCGTCTTGAAGACAAACAAATTGCTGTAGAACAGAAAGGCCATGGGTGGCTAGAGCGTGAATGGCAAGGCTATATTCTCTCTAAAACTGACAAGGTAAACTGACAAGGTATATTGAGTTTTTAAAAGAGACCTGCCAAACTGCTGAAATTTCTCTATCCATCATTCCAGAAGGCCAGAGAGATCTAGATCTACTCTGTAGAGCCCAGAGTTAAAGAGCTATATTTGGTCATTGTAGTCACAAGACAGACAGTGATGGGAGCAAAGAGGCAATGTGGTGGACAAAACCAAGGATGCCCAGCTCTGAAAAATGCCTCTCCCTTGCAAGTTGGAGGGCATGCTTTCTTTTACCGGCCATCCCCACTGGCCAGACATGAATGTAGGTATCACCTTCTCCATTTGCAGTGAGCATTATCACAGGTTGCTCAGGTTTCCCTGAGCTTTGCAGAGCAGAGGGGCATGCACTTCTACCAGACAAAGCTGTGAAGATGCTCATTTCTCACTGTCTGCTGGTGCTTCAGCAAGGCCAAGAGCAGCAGAGCACAGGTTTTCTGGGGACAATGCCTCTCCACAGGGGCACTGGGACTGGAATCTGCTGGAATCCTAGACTCCACGCTCAGCAGCTTCCTATAGGAGCCTGTTAGTGAGGGCTAATTAATGCTCTCTGGGGGCACATTCCAGATGGAAGGGGAAAGTGAGAGACAGGCAGCCAGACAGGCCAACACTTGAGACATCTGAGCCAGTTGGGCTCTGTGGGCAGAGTGTTCTGCTTGCCACTTTTCCCAGTGAGTCTTGCCTGCCCTGCAGCGTCACGACAGGAGAACCTGAGACAGCAAAGCTCTGGTGTCCGTGCAGTTCCCTTGTTGCAATACATTGATCGGAGCTCTCTCAAAGAAAGTGGCCTGGATATCTGAGACACCTATTGATTGGTCCATTGGCTCTCTTTGTGCCCTGATCCTCATTCACTCAGCACTGCCTGAATAACCTGCACTTCTATGTTAGGGGAAGTCTCCCCAGATCTTAAAGGGCTACATTCACAGCTGTTTGCCTAGTTGCAGCCCATGTAGGGAGGAGAGATGTCTGGTGACCATATATGCAGGCTCTAAGGGGAGGACCTAAGTCCCTCCTGCAGCATCAAGCCGAGCACTTCAAGTATTAGGCAGAACTTGAAGTTGTGGCTACTTGTTTTTGCCGTCTTTGAGTACTGGTGCCTTCTGCTTGAAGAACAGGCTCATGCCACATGCCCAGCAGGCAGGAAATGGTATGTACATCATGCATGGTGAGAATAACCAGGAAAATGAGAAGAAATCATGAAGCCCTTAATTAGTTACTAATGGAATATCACACTTTTCTTCTTGAACAAAAGAACAGTTCCTTGACACAGAAACATCCCCACTAAGTTACAAACCCTCTGCCAAGGACATCAAGGAGAAACATGCCAAGAGAAGAACTGGTTTCTAGATCTTGCCTTTAAACAAACAACTGTTTTCCTCCAAACTTGTGATAATCAAGCAGGAGGAAAAACATGGCTTAGCAACCTTCTGCCATGGATGAACCCAGGGATGAAGAGATACACCAAGGGAAAAAAACCATAGGTCAAATATCAAGACACATCTTGTCCTAATGAATGCCTGGAGACTGTAGAATAGGCTCTCTGGGGAAACCAAGACATTGGGGATTTTAAAAAACAGTTAAACTATTAGAACTGTACAGCTGGGAACACTTGTGTCTTGGCACCAGAAAAGGAATGGATGAGCTAATAAGATGACCGATCAGCGATGGAAAAGACTAATGAACCCTTTCTAATCCAAAATCCCTTGTCAATTCTGCATTTTGAGCAAATCAAACAATTGTGGATTTGTTCTTTCTAGAAACTCCTGGCTCTGCGGAGACCAAAGAGTGTAAAACCATTTTTCTCCCTTCTTGGATTTGGCTTTTAAAGATGTGTATTGATTGAATTCTGTATATTAATACCTTGTGCTTCCACCAGGCTTCACATAAAGTTAACTAATTGGTCCTCATAATCCTTTTGCAAAGCAAAGCAGTAGGACCCTTATTCTCAGCTTGGAATACTGAGCAAAAGAAAGAGAAAATAAAATGCCTGACCAACATCACTTGACTACTCTGTGTTAGGGCAGAGGAGTCCTATTTGCAAATTGCTAGTGTAGTCTCCTCTTGATATTATCATGAGCTCTTGTATCTCATTGCTATCAATAAATCTTTATGCTGTATATTCCACAGCACTAAACATTATGGGCAGGATCACAGACACACTAGCATCAATAGCAAACCACTCTTCCCCAGTGACTTTAATGATGCCGGATCAATCCCGATATGAATAACTAAATACACTTCAGCACAAAAGCAGCCTTGGAGTCAAATTTCAGTTTGCCATGAGTAGTATCCCATAGAGTTCAGGGGTTCATGCACAGCATAGTGTGAGTGAATCTATGCTGCTTTCCAGACTAACTCTGGTCTGGAAGGAGTTTACTGTTTTCCCACAACTTGAAAGCTAAGACACAAAACCTTCACAGGACCCTGCTCTGAAGAGTGTTGAACTTCCAAAATTGGAAGCAGAAGACACCTTGGCCACACAGTCAGCATGCCAGCACCAGCTCCTGTGACTCCGCTCCAACAGCTGCCAGCTCTGAGAGACTCAACTGCTTGGATGCAGGGCAGCATAGATATAGGCAGCCAGCAAGCCTGGACCCATGCTGCCGCTCTGCTGCTCCAGTACTGGAGCCACTACAGGCCTTTAAGGTTGTTTTATGGGATTCATATGAATAGGCTACAGTGCATTATAAACCTGCGCTCCCACTAAAGCCAATGTCACTAGTGTGTATTGGCATGTAGAAAGGGGATACATCTCCTCCCTGAACTATCACATGAGGAGAAGCAGGTTTTCAGTGGTCTCTCTCTAACTACAAAGTAGGTGCCTCCTTCCCAGCAGTAGATCAAGATCCTCTGAGTCTACCACCTCTACATCTAGGCCAGGGTGGGCCAGACTACACAAGTCTGCATCTCGGCCCCTTGGTAGCTCGTGTGCTCTAGAAGGAAGATTTTTAACGACAGAAACTACACATCCATCGAAAAACAAAACTGGTTTAACACCTAATCTACATTCTTTACAACATTGGCTTCCATCAGCCTGCCTCTCAAGAAATGAGAGAGCCCTACTGAAAAGCAATACACACTCAAGTGACATCATACAATTCATCACCAGCTGCTATGATGTTATGACCTGGAAGAGAGTTGTGTGCTAGTGTCTTGGCTCCAGCATACAGGACTCTTGCAGTCCACAGCCAGCTGCTGTTCCTTGTGGTTAAGCTGAGGGGACCATGCTCAGCCAGGTACAGCAATGAAGGAGGTTACATGCAATGCTTCTCCTTCCCTCCCCCTCCTCCCCTCACTGCCTTTCCCAGAGGGACCCAAGGGAAACAAAGTTTTAAAGTCAATCTATAAGAATGTGTTTAATTGCCACTGAATTCCCTATGGTTCACCTTGAATGGATAAGGATTGAGGAGGAGGAAAAACAGCACAAGAGAGAAGCTGAATACTGCTCAGAGACCTCTGAACACATCAACAGACTGAGCACAACACAGGTTGAGCATGCAGGGCAGCAATCCACAGCTCCCAGACAAACTTGTGCTACCACCCATCTTCAGAAAGTCTCTTGAGTGGTAATATGGGCAGACCTTCATTGCACAGGGTGCCACAGCTGTGCATTAACTCTGTCCTTCCCTTATGATGTCCAGCCAACCCAGTCATGACCACGAAAGACCTCCTCCTCAACAATGAAAAATGACCTGGGGGCAAGAAGAGCAACACCCTCCAGCGCAGGGTTAGTTTGGGAAAGGAAACAGTCTGGCACAGCCAGTTTCCAGTTATTTGTCAAATTTGCAAGTAGTAGAAATAATATCCTAGCATAAGGGTGCTAACTAGAACCACTCTCCTCTCTGGACTGCCCTCTTAGTCACCGCCTATCCTGACTCTTTTACAAAGCCTATAAAAAGATTCCTTCAGAAAGCCAGAGTAGGCAAGCATGTAGTTAGCCTCGGAGATCCTGCAAGGCCTGGAGTCCCAGGCACTGTCAGGACAGAGAAAAATTCTCATTCTGACTCTCTTACCTTCTTTTAGCATCCCCACTTTGAGGCATTTCATGAAGCGACAGGCCTGACAGGATTTGCGCCTCCGTTTCGTGATCTCACATTCATTGGTAGCCGGGCAGCTGTATTCAATATTCCCTGAAATCAAACACAGAGATGGTCACCCAGGAATCACATTTTCCCCACTGATCCAGGGACAGGCTGTAGTGCCCAGATATTCCCAACACCATCAGTCTGTGTATGTTGTACGTTTGCTCGCTAATTTGCACAGACACATCCTGTGAGTCTACAGCCAGCTGACCTATCCAAGGGGCTGATTGCAATGCTAGGCTTTCAGGCACTAGAGGCACGTGTCCTCTAGGTATGTCATCATCCCCTGTGCTGCACCCTTTATAATCTGGCCTGTTCCCTGAAGTCCAGGGCTGAGCATGGGAGCAGTTCAGACATTAGCAGCATTTCCTTTGCTGCCAGTCTTGCTCCACGTCTGTGGGATGGATGGCACCTGTCCTTTCTTGCCTCACTGGGGGAACCAGCATTTTCTCCTTTGCTTCCTCCTGCCAGTAGGCATACTACAGGTAGCAGGGAAGCAGTAGGTCTAGATTGAGAAAGAGATAAGACGTCCTGTAAAATGAACATAGGTTACCTGTGCAAATCTTTACAGTTTTACTTTATTAGTTCTTGTGCACCTGCCTCTCATCCCTTCGCACAGAGCATTATCGCTTCTCATTCCCTTTTCGTTTACGATCACGTTGCAACACTGTCTCCAAGACAAAACAGGGAAAGAAGCATCCCAAATTTATTTCTAGTCAAATCGTATTGTACTGGAAGCCAAGAATGTAACTAAAACATGGAGCAAGAGTCTGATATGAGGATGTAAGTGGAATTATGCTGGATCACAGTGGAAGGTAACAATTATTTGGTACTAGAAGGCAACAAACAGAAACAGCTCTCTCCATCTTGCCATTTGTTTTGAGGTGATGTTTCTGAAGAGGGCTATTCAATGTTTGCTGCAGGGATGGACTAGAAATCTAAGCTTGGCAGTGATGCATTGACAATGGCAATACATTTAAGACAGTCTAGATACTGGTAAATCCGGCAGCACTGAAAAGGGTATCTAAGCTCTACAGTCAATTCAGGAGAATGGAAAAGTTGGTCTGATGATTGAAAGCAGGAAACTGAGATTCAGTAGTTCAATCAGAGCTGTAGGGAGAAATGTAGGTAAGAGCTGAGACAACAGTATGGACTTTGTAAAACATCAGATTAGAAGCAGAGTTTACAGTTTGTTAACACTGGGACAGGACTTGATTTTCGTTCCTACTTCTGTAATGGATTTTTATATTCTAGTGCAAGACCCTTCCCTCTCTAAATAAAGATCAACAATCTGATATATATCAATCTTTGGGCGTGGTGATTAGACCTTGGGGCTAACTAAGCTGTTGGAAAGCCTCTTGAAAATCTGAGTGGAAAAGCAGAGCACAGATTCAGTAGAAAGAAAGCACTATTTATTTCTGTGTTCTTGGCCCATTCTGGGTGAGACTCCAGGAACACACAGCTCCCAAAGCCTAAAGGTGATTGGCCTGTTAGTTACAAACATTCTACCTCTTGCTTGTCACAAGACTTGCAACTTGACCCTAAGCTCCACCCCAGCCACCCCATTCTTCACCACTGCTCATCTACCCCCCAAATACAGTTTATCTGCAGGAGCACAGTGTGCTGCACAAGTTGCTTCCGATCCGGCTGTATGTCGTCATTGTGCAGCACCTGCAGCCACATATCAACGTTCTCAGAGAGCTGGAAATTGAGATTCAAGCTTGATCTCAAGGTAATAAACAAACTCCTGCTCTAAACACAGAGTTTCAGCACATTACAGACCCATGAGTACAGTGGCCAAGATCTCATGATCAGACACTTGCTGTGCCCCACACAGGAAGGAACACAGCAGGAACAAACCTGGGATAAAACTCAAACAGAGTCTCACTTTGTTAAAGTTTTGCCTTTGTTTCAGTCTTAACCTTTCTCACCAAACCCAGGATGAGAGTTCTAGAGAGACACAAGATTTCACGTTTTGTGGTCCAAAGGCCAAAAATTTGACCCCTTACACAGAGACACTACACCAAGGGCACTGAGCTTTATAGCAGCTGGAGGCAGTGACAGCCCTCATCTGAAAGCTCAAGGTCCCTCCACAGTGTCAAGAAGATCCCCCACCTTCCCCATGCCTCCAGGCCCTGGTCCCCTTGACAAGTAAAGTACTGGAAAGGGTCTACAAAAAATATATCACAACTAAATGTGATAGTGTCAGAGTATGTGCACGTACTAGTTACCATACACATGCCGGATGCACACAGCTTGAATAAGCAGTTCTCAAAGGCATTTCTGTACTGGGATCATGACTGTTAAAGGAGCAGAGCCAGAGGAGAGTGAGCACTGGGCAAGCACCCCTTCCTGGACAGCAAAGCAGTGGTCACCAGGTAGTGCAGCAGCCCGTAGTCTGCTAGTTAGCACATATGAAAGAATACATTCAGCACTGGTAGGACATCCCATTCAGCATGCTTGTTTGCCTTCACATTTAACACGGGCTCATGTGTCTCTTCCACACACTGTGCCCAGTCTGAGGGAAGAAAGCACCAGCAACTGTCTTACAGTCCTCTCTATAGGTGCAAATGCTAGGGGTGAGGCTCACTGTACCCTCTTCACACACGACAATGCTGCCAAAGCAAATGGCACTTTATGCCAGGCCCAAAAACATGCTGTGTGCTGCATGGACTGAGAGCCACAGCTGGGGGCAATACCTGCCATTATTGCAGGAAGCAGCGACATGACCAGGGGAGGCACAATCAGCATTACCCAAGCAGAACTCAATCACGAAAAACTATCATCTCCAAAAGTTTAACAAAGTTCTCTGACTTTTTTTTTTTTGTGTCTCAATTTCTTTTATGGGTCCTGGGGCTGGCTGCCAGCACAGTGAGCTGCTCACAGCTCCCTGTAATTTCTGTAAGTGCCCTGTGATAAAGTGATGAGATTAACTCATCGAAATTCCAACAACCTCCCAGTGGCTGGCGGTCACACCAGCAGCCCAACTGCCAGCGCAGGGGGCTCAGAGAGAGATTCCCCTTCACTGCTGCAGCTGGGGGTGCTGCAAAGTCCTGCAGAAGAGCGTCAGCACACAAGGGTGCACTTGCAACTCTCTATGCAACAACAGAATTTGAGTCAAGTCTCTGTGTGTAATGAACAGTAGATTATGTGACCCAGAAGGAAAGGTCAGAAAAAAAACACATAATCTGATAGGCAAGGCCTTACTTTGAGCTGTTGCTTATTAGAGAGATTTCCTTTACCTAGATAATATTTACATTGATCTGAAAAAAACTGGTAGAACCTCACCGATACCATGGCACAAGATTTACCTAAAAACGGCTTAAAAAAATCAAATGATGGATGACAGGATCACAGTTTGGATTTCTTCACATGTCCCCTTGGAAGGCAAATCACTTCCTCTCTGTGTCCTAGTTTGCTCATCTGCAAAATGATAACGAACACCAAACCTACCTTCTGGGAAGATTGCGAGTCTTTATTCATTACGGTTTAACTGTACTTTAAAGCCTTTAGATGAGAGATACTAAGAAACAGCGGAGGACTATTAAAGTGATAGAACATGTTTTTTATGCTGGAGAACTGCAAAATTACCCTATTTTCTGCAAAATTAGACCTTTGACTGTTAAACAACTTGGAACATAATTTCCAGTGCAGACATAATAGGAGCACCTGAAAATTGTACACCAGATCTTGATCATTCAAGAAATTCTATATTCACCCTACTTCTCTAGAACAGGAGGGACTGGGAAGAGCAGAATGCCTCCCTGAGCTTGGGGAGCACAGCGAAGTCCTACCCAGCTCCTTCTTAAATTGTGGATAGGGCTCCTCAGGAGAGTTGAGTTTGGAATTAGTACAGCACTGAGGGCACAAGCTACTCCCTGCTTCCTGATTCTAACCTTTTAGAAAGCCTTTCTACAAGGAAACTCAGGAAAGACTAGATAGAAATAACCAAGAAAGTCTTTAAAGCTAAATAATTTTCAGCATCTGATTGCTGAAGAAAACCCATCTCTCTTTTTCTGGTTTCTTCTTCATTGCCATTCACTTAAATTAGCCCTTCTAAATGAGGCATCATAGCCCAAGTCCTGGTGAGAGGAGAGGTACTTTGTAAAAGTCAGAGGAAAATCTCTCCAGTGATCTGCATGAGGTAAGAAAGGTTATTTTTAAGCCCCAGTTTTCAAAGAAAGGAATTCAAATATTGAACCTGTAAAGCTTCATTTAGGAACTTGAATAAGCAACCTGATTTTCAGCAGGGTTGTCCTATGCTTCAAGGGACATGTCCCTGATCTAGGTGCCTGAGTATATACAAACATCAACAGAGGCTCTTATTTTTGGAAAGGAAAAATATCAACACAAAAAACCCCCGAAGCCCCACAATACAAAAAAACAACACCCCCCAAACAAAAAAATACTCCAACAAAAACAAATCTCCCCACAAGTGTTTATCACTTGCAGGAAAATGAGTTTGGAAAAGCAGGTGAGATAAGCCCCAGTGCTTGGATTAACCAAAATTTTACTTCATGCGGCTGATAACTAAAATACCCAGAAATGTGAGCACTTGACACTATGAGAGGAAAAGGGAATACACAGAGGTGTAACAACAGCACTGTTCGCCTCCTCAGGGTGGCACACCTGGCTCCTGCTCCACAAAAGAGCACTTGGACATTTAGTACAACTCAAATCAGCCTCCTGCTTGCACAGGGAAGCAGGACATGGGCCCTGGGGCTCCCTACCAGTAGCAAGTTTGTCTGTAGGGTTTCAGACACAGAAATACTTTACAGAAGTTGCACAGAAAAGGTCCTTCTGCACAGAGTTCTCTGTACAGGTGCACTGAGGCAAACAGAAAACACAAGACTAATAGACCTCAGGTTGCACTGGAAGTGGTTTTTTAAATCCAAGCACAAGATTTGTGAATAGTAAGCAGCAGTCAGGTGCTAGATCATGAAATACTGCACTTTCCCTGGTTAAGCTTCAAAAGCTTTTGGAAAGCTGTGAACTCCCACCTGAAAAGTAGCAGGCACATTTCTGAGAAGGACAGAAGGATAGAACAGTGCTTGGCTTCCATGGCTGCTACTGTAGGGACTTAAAACTTCCTTTGTGCATGTAGATGGCAATACTCTTCCGCTCACAAAAAACTTTCTCAACTGCTGCTCCCTTCCCATGAGCCACTCTAAGCACTGTAACAACAATCAGGAAGCCCTAGAAGACTATGGATTTTATTACAAGCCTGTTATAAATCCCTAGAACTGCATTATTCTGAACTGCATTATCCACATTTTAAGCCCCTTATTGATGTAAAGGCATACCAACAAGGCAGTTCTGTTGCTACACTCACTGGGTTTGAAGCTTGAAAGACTCGACAGGAAATCCACAGATGCAGAGACTTTGCCTAATACACCACTTGCCTACCCAGAAGATGATGGTAAATGTGTCTCTTCTCTTTGACTCTCCAGTAACCAGTTCTTCCAATATCACTCCTCGCAAGTCCCGTTGTATCACCTTATGGGTGTGAGTTCCATGCACACAAGGAGATGATTCACAAAGATCAGAGAGAGAAATCTTAATTCAGATTTATTTTGCTGAGCCCTAAGCTTTTATTTTATATTAATGGGTCATTTTAGAAATAGCCTTAATTTTCACCATTTGAAGATGAAAAATAGATGAAGGGTAGTCATAGTCATGAATATGTTGAATAATAAAGGACTCATATGGTTATACAGCCCTGCAATCAGTTAATATCCAAAAGAGACAAAACTACCTACTAGTTGTAATGATTGACAAACAAAAGATAACGACAATATATCTGATTGATACATAATGCTCTATCTACTGAGTAAACTATTCAGAGAAGGAATAGAGTTAGATTAAGAATTTGTACCATGTAAGAAAGCCAGCATTTGCCTTTGTCCTAAATTTGGACAAAAGTATTGTTTAGGATTTCCATGGAACAGAAATTCAAAAAATTTTAATTTAGAAACATCCAAAACACAATACCTTTCATGTAACATACCTGTTCCATTACATTCAGCTAATATGAAATTTTTTGTTTCAAATCAGACGTCTCTTGAGCATCAATAGCAGCACACTTCAACATGCCTGAAATTCAGATTCTCTCCTATCTGCACTAGATTGCACATTCCACAATATTCACAGTCAGGTGACGTCCATGACACATGTGAGGACACTTGCACCATGGAGGTCAATGTAGATTGCCAGTAGAATATAATCTCACGATGCAATGCAATGATAGAGAAACATGATTTAAATTTTGTCAGGCAGCTTAGCTGACCGATAATGCGTCAGGTCGGTTCAGAATTTCTGGCTCTGCCTCAAAGCATGGGAAGTCCAGACCTTAGGTTCAAAATAACATGTTCAGAGAGAACAGGCCTGCAGCCCAGTGGCATGTTCTGTCATCTTGTCTCAGGTTTTCAGTTTTCCATCTCAAGCATTTCCAGTGCTGCAAAGTGGAAATGACACACAGGTTTCCAAACCTTGACCTTTCTTTTGGGCCATGTAACACAACAGGAGAGAGGTCATAGGTGTGATATCCCCCCATAATCTGTGGGACAGGTTAGGATGTATTGTGTGATCCTGTCTTTGTTCAGCAAAACCAAACACTCCAATTCATCTTGAACTGAATCAATGGTTTGGATTTTCCTGCCTTCTTTTCTTTTTCCTATCATTAAAATTTTTCTTGGGGAAATCTGACTTGGTAAAAATTCCACTTTTCTTTGGAAAAATCCTACTGACAGAAAATTCTCATAGAGCAATATTAGTGATCTCAGAGATAACCAGTTGCATCCCTGCTGGCATTTAGCCTATCTTCTCCCCATCATTTGAAAAACAACAGCCCTCGTGTTGTCCAGGACAGGCTGGCCTCATCTGGCTAAGTGGGAAAGTGAGTTGCAGAGCTGTCATGCTCAAATAAGGTCTGCAGCTTTAATGCCGTTCTTCTTGCTGCTCTGCTACAGCAGCAGAGGGAGTGAAGAGGCTATTGCAAGATGCTCCTGCCCCAAGATAGGCAGGTTTTCCATAAGTTCATGCAGCTAAAAGAACCCCATAGGCAGACTGGGGTCATTTGTAGCAGGGGAGCGGGGCTAGTTGGAAGGGCAAATTCATGTGAAGCTTCTCCTTCATGATCAGAGGTATCTAGATAGTGTAATAATTCAGGAAAGACTTAGACTCATTTTATGGCAGCATGCATACCTAACATAGGGCCAGCAGAATAAGTACTGCCATTAGATTTTCATCTGTCAATACTCAAGCACAGAGAAGTGAAGTGGCTGGTCTGAGACCACAAAAGCCTGATGATGAATTTACCTACTGCATCTGGGGAATCCTGGGGTCATCGCTCCATCTCTGTGCTCTAACCATCGAGTCAATGCCACTCCCAGATACCAAATCATGGCAAGTCTTTTGATACTAGCAGGGAATGCAGTGGTATAACATACACATCTGCATGCTTTCTGCAATGTTAGGCAGACTGAATGAAGATGTTTTCACTTTGTCTGTTAGATGCTTAACACAGCTACTGAATATAATAAAGTTGCAGGATAAACACCTTTTGTAAATGCTCTTGCCACTCGCCTTCTCTTTTATATGATCCTTAAATCCTTTTCCCTGCACACCCAGGGCTATGCTTGGATATCGCATGCACTGCAGCAGAGCCCCAGGAATGGTGCACTTTCTTGACTCAACCAAACTCTGCAGCCCTATTTGCTGCCGACTCCCGTGGGTTCAGCCTTCAGTTTCATAGTTGAAATTGCTCACCCTCAGGCACAGCACACTCGACTCTGACACTCTTTGGAAGAAAAGCATTTTGGTACCTCAGTCGCCAGAGCAATCTGATGACAGAGTGAGAGAGATTTCCACTTATTTCTTTCCCTCATCTGTTACACGTTAACAGGCAATCAATTAGGGAACTACAGGCAGAAAGAATATGGCTGTGCTGGGGAGAGAAGGCTGGAAGGAAGCACTCTCCCCTCTTGGGATTAAGTCAGCTGACACATCACTCAGGCTGACATAGGCTCTAGGTACTGTTACCCTGCATCATTTTCTTTTCATTCTCTCTGAAAACTCTTCAAAAGTTCCTAGGTCTTCTCCTCTTTCTCCAGGTCTCCTGCTCTGCCACAGAGGTGCTCCAGTATTGCTCCCAGGAGGAGTTACTTATCTTGTTTCTTCCTGTATTAGGAGTCCCTAGGACTTTGCTTCAGAGTGCTACCCTGTCCCTCCTTTAGCACCTGAATATGCCTAAAAGAAACACTAGGAATGGGTCAAGAGCTGGAGAAGGGATGGAGTCAGTGCTGACAGTCAGAAGTGCACGTAAAAATTCACATTCAATCACAGAGATTAAGCAATGACAAATCACACAAAGCCCTGCCAGAGAACTGGTCAATGCCCTAAAGATGGCAATGATTTCCACATGGCATAATAAAGAAAAAAGTGTCAGTGTGGAAGAGTGATTATTTCCACAGCTGGATAACAGGAAGGAGAGTCATCTAAAATCTAAGAAACCAAGCTAGAAATAGTGACTTTTGCAGAGACCTGGAATGAACTGCATCCTGGACTGCTCTGTCCACTGCAGAGTTGAACATCTCCAGAAACAGAGTGTAATCAGACCCATTCGATTAACAAAATGAGTGCTCTCTCCATATGTGCATTTCTTTCATTTCACAGGAGACAAGGCAGTATTGGTGTGGTGGATTGACCCCAGCCAACAGCCAAGTACACGCACAGCTGCTTGCTCACAGGACACCTTGTCTCCAGTCAGCCCATCTTAGCTGGGTGAACTCAATACACTTTCCACTGGAAGACGAATGATCCTGTCCTTTTTCCAGTTAGAGAAAGTAGGAAATAAAGGGAGTATCTGTATGTCCAACCATGTTTGCTCACATGGGGCACGCGTAAGCAAGTACACCCAAGCATCATGGGTGTTGGATGTTATCTGGATGCACTCCTGCTTTTGGCTATATTGTAGCTGTGCGTGTGCACATCTGCAAGCACACCTTTGGCAGGCAGGACACAGCCATACCCCTCATATGTGAATTGTACATGCAGGAGCAATGCACTGCAATTCATCTATTCATGCATGCACTGAGGTTTTCAAAATAACCTGAGGAATTTCTCATCCTTAGTAAGACTGACACAAACAGGGTATCTTTGTCTTCTTCAGTGACTAGTTTTTTTATCTTCAAAGAAGATGCATCTTAGTGAAAGCCAGCCAGGCTAGGAACTTGGCAAAAGTTCCTACCACCACATAGCCTAACTTCATGTTCATGTTCATTTGGGAGGGCCAGAGCTGATTAGGAGGAGAGAGGAAGCATACAAAAGGATAGAGGCTCAGGTACATTACATGCACTCTCCCCTTCCCCATTTTATGTGACATTGCAGTCTCAGCAATGTCTGGGGCTGTGGCCCTCCACTTCTATGGAGTGAATGCTGCAGTTTGGATTCCTTCCCACCGTACCTTGAATAGTCCTCTTGAAGAAGGCTTTGCATGCCTCACAGGAAGCCACGCCGTAGTGGTACCCAGATGCAATGTCCCCACACACCAGGCACAGCCGCTTGGGGATTGCATTGAGCATGTACTCGCACTTGGTGGGTGAGTCCTCCATGATGGCGCTGGCACAGTCGTCGTAACGCTTACGGCAGGACCCACCACCAATCCCCGTGCCATTGAACATGGGGGGTGAGTCTAGGCCATTGGGGTGGCCACCCATGGCGATGCCATAGCCACCGCTAGCATCGGAGGAGCCGCTTGGGCTGTGGTGGCTGATGGCGTCGATGCCAGAAGACGGGCTGGAGGGCTCGGTCTTGATGAAGGACCCACAGCTGGAGGAGAGGTGCCGCTCCTCTGTGGCCATTCTGCCGAGCAGCCTGCGGGGAGAGAGCAAAGGCACTCAGCGACCTCCTGGCCAAACCCAGCTCCAGGTTAGTCAAAAGAGAGCCCTCTTTTTCCCACCTCAGTTCAACTCCGGTTGGCTCAGACAGTTCAACCCCACCCAGGTTCTTCTTCAGGAATATCGGTACAATAGCCCGCCTGCTCCCCACAAACTCACATTAGAATAAAGCCAAGGATATTCATGTAGGTCATATTATCAGGCTGTTCACAGGCTGTAGGGCTGGGAAGGGGCATCAGTGCCGATCAAACACAATCTACCCCTGAGACAGCAGAAAGAAATGAGCTTGCCTGTGGCAGGCCAGGTGAAAAAGATGTTTGGTTAGTTCAGAATATGCTGCCCTGGCTTTAAGCAAAAAGTTCAGGAACAGACCCTGCAGAAAGGACCTGCTCAGACTGGATTTTCATTTTTTTACCTGTAATACAGAAATCTTTGATCAATTTTCAAGTTGAATTCCTCCTCTCCCCCCCATTCCACCCTCCACTCTGCAGCACTATCATCACTAAAAGAGGAGCTTAGAAACTAAAGGAAAATAATCTGATCAAAAATTTCTTCTGGCTGAATCTTAAATCTTAATCTTTCTTCTATTTACTAGTATTGGGCTTTTGCATAGACACGCAAATTCCCACTTCTTAAAGAGACGATTATGCTCTAAAGCCTATGGAATCTTTACCAAATTTGCAAGCTATTCTTATTTGTTTTAGTTCACAGATAGTCTTATTCCTTATATAAATGTTCAATCTTTTTTTTCAGAACACTGCTAATTTTTATGATATCTAAAGCAATGAGTTCCAGAGATTACTTGTGCAGTGTACAAACAAGCAAAAATTCCACTTTTAAATTCCACTTAAAATTTTTAATTTTTAATTCCACTTTAAAATTCCACTTATTTGCCTATAATGTATTTGCAGCCTTTCAGATTCCCTGAACATGTCCTGGCTCTCCTCAGGAAATGTAGTTTTGCCGTGTTCTCCTCATTCAGTTCTTCATTATCTATATAATTGCTCTTCATGCAGAAGTTTTTGCAGATCTCTTATCTGCCTCATCATCCATCTCTGAACTTCCTCTAGTCTGGCTATTTCTGTTCAGTCCAGAACAGAGTTCAATGAGCCAGCTCCTCAGCAGCATGACACTGGCACTGCTCCATCACTTCTCCGGCTGAAGGTCTGGACAACAGTCAAGACAAAGGCACGCCATCAATTACGTAGTGATGTTACAATATTTTCAATGTTATTTTCAGCCTATCTATTGTATAACTCCTTACACTGTTTGGTTTATTTCCCTCTTTAAATTAAAATCTAAATTGTTACCATTTCTTCAGCATAGCATATCAGAAAGTTACTTACTGCAATCCTCAGATCTTTTCCTGAGTTGCTGCAGTTAATTTAGAATCCATTAGGATGTATGAAAAATCAAATTATTGCCTTCTGGTGTGCAATGTTTTGCAATAGTCAACAGCATATCTCATCTACCACTGTGCTTTGCAGTCCACACACCCAGCTTTATTAAGATCCTCTGGGGTTCTTCAGTCTTTCATGATAGTTTGATGTCATCTGCAGTCTCATTGTTCACCCACTTCCCAGATCATTAACATACGGATCAAACACCACAACACTGATCTTTGTGGGTGATTTGTGTTAACCTTTATCATGCTGAAAATTGACTTCTCTTTCTTCTCTGGGTAGGGTATGTCTACCCTTTCTTTCTGTCTCTGACACTTTTTAATTGATAATAGTATTAACCTGAGAGGTTAAATTTTCCCTTCAGCAAGATAATTTGTCAAAAGCTTTACGAAAAACTAAACACATGCATTTTTCTGATGACATGGCCAAAGAATTTTGAATGACTAGGGATGCTTCACTTTTCTTTTTGGAAGCTCTGGTGGTTTAAAGTTACCATACCATGGTCATGTGGGTAATTTCTATTTCTATTTCAGTTTCAGCCTATTTACCTGGTATTTGTGGCAAGTCCTTCTGCCAAGAGGTCAAAGCCATCAGGGGACAAGACAAAATATTCTGTGAATCAGCAAGGCTGGAGTGCACACATATATATATCACATCTGTGTGTCTGTTGATAGGAATATAGATGTTTGATATGCAGCAAATTCACAGTCGCATCCTTATGATCTCACTTGACCCAAGTATTCTCCCTTCTCTGTTTCATCCTCAGTGTTTGACCTCATCTCCTATCTCTGGGATCGATCAGCCAAGTTTGTTATTTGGCAAGACTGTTGACCTTGAGAGTATGGGCAGGCATCTCATGTTCCTCAGCTGCTTTGCCTGGTGTTACCTGAGAGGAATCCAGGGTTTGGTCCGTCTCAGAGACAGTGTGATGAGTTGATAAATGCCCATGCTTTTGCCTAGAGGGCCACATCGAACTAGAGGTCATGGAGCAGTTACAGGAATAATTGCTGCAGGTGCATTCATCTCTAATCCTGCAGGGCTCCTAGACAGACTGCAGAACTTCTAGTGTGATGCCAGCTGACTGTGTGGGCAAAGATGAAGCTTTGCTAACTGAGAGCAGATCTTAGCATCTCATAGCAAAGCTGAAAGCTGCTGTGCTGGCCTCGTTCTGGGGCCTCTCCCTACCTGAGAAGTGCAGTTTTGGTAAAGATATGAAGATCACAGGACACAGCAACATGAGATTAGGGTCAAAATGGAAGGCAAAATGACCATAAAACACTGTTCGGCACTGAGGATCTCCACAGTAAAAGGAGCTGGAATCACAAGGACAACACTACAAAAAAGGCATGACAAAGAGATGAGCTGTACTGGCAGATTCCATCAGCAGAATCCAAATCCCAGCTTTTGTTTCTTAAATAGCCTAACTTTCATAGATGACCTCAAGAGGACTTCCTGAGATATTTCCCTCCAGTGGAGGGGAAAAAAGGCTTCTCAACTCACAACTTCAATTAAGGAGCCTTCCTTCCCAAGCATGCAAACAGTGACTGTTTGATAGTGAATCAGGGATAGTAACAACCCCCTACATCCTTCCAGCTGAGGACCCTCCTGTTCCCTTCCAGGAGGCAGCAATACATAGGGAGTGCTGGTTAGACTTCAGCCATTTTCTCTTGTGTTTTTCTTTTCTGGCCTCTGACTTTCTGCAAGTCTCATGGAGATTCCGTGCTGATTTTTAAAGAGAGTCAGAGTGTCCCCTGGCAATGAGATACATCTTGAACTTCAAGAAGAACAGCTAAATGTTTCTTGCAAAGAGTTCAAAGTGATGAACAGTCATTTTGCTCGGCTCTAGTTACCTTAATAGGAATGTAAAAGGAGAGAGACTTGATCCAACTCTCCTCTGTGCTGGCACAGGAAACTCCGTTACTATTTCTGTGCCCATGTAACAGGCTTAAAGGTTCTAAACATTTCGTTCTTTTCACCTTTCCTCATCATAGGTCATTCCTTCTAATCCCTTTAGCATCTTTGTGGTCCTTCTCTGGATTTGTTCCAACTTGCCTGGGTCTCTCTTGCAGCAAGGTGCCCCGAATTGCACAGCGCAATGCCACAGCACTACAGGGGAGAGTCACTCTGGAAAGCACACAGCCGGGCAGACATATGGACCAACTGAGCAGTAGCTTTGCCAGACATCAGGTTGCACATCAGCTCACATCATTTGATAGTTACTGTCTCACCGGGACCTCTCTGAACATAAGCTGCTTTTGCCACTGTGCTCTGCGCAACATGAAATTTGGAGATTCTCCTTGTTCTAAACTAGATCCAGTATCATCTTTAAACTACACAGTGCTAATTGCCACTTGTTTTACCAAAGCCTGTTCATAACATTCAATTTTTCAGGCTAGCTCTTCTTTTTTCACTCTGATCTTTTTTCTAGTACCTTTCAGTTAAGTTAACTGTAAATTTGAGACTGATTGCTTTACATTTTCCTCCACTAATGAATATTTACAGTCGAAACACTGCCCTTTTGAACACCACCTTTGCAGAAGGATAAAGAATATCTCTAACCCTTCTGTTTACACTCTGTCATTTGATCCATGATTCATTTCACAGGATTTGTATCAAACCCAATTTGATCTAATTTCCCTAATAAGATTTTGCACAGCTTTGTGTCAAAAGCTCATGCATGGTCCAGAGTCAGTCTATTCATTCCATTCCTTTTGCTCGCTAATTATCTAATTGTGTCAAGAAAGGTTATTGTCTGCTGTATTCCTGTTTCATAAACCCACTGCTACTTATCAGTAACAACGGTGTTAGCCTTTATGTGCTTACAACTGCCCTCAGACAAGCATGGTCTGATCTCAGTGATTCTGGATGTAAATACAAAAGTTTAGACCAAGTTGAGATTGTGCTTTAGGTTTTTATCCATTAGTGTTCTCTCCCTTGGGTAGTGATATTGAGTTAATGTTACAAGCTTCCCCAATTCTTCTCCAGCCGTTCATCTTTTGCTGTTTCTCTACAATGGCTGGTATTTAGCCGTTAGTGGCTTATGAGTTTAATGCTCTCTAAGAGAGCGAAAGATTGCTAGATGGACAGGACCTGAAAGGAACAAAAGACTAGTGTTATAAAATTAAGGCAGTAAATATTGGCCCCAATTTTTTTTCTTTTAAACTTCAAGGATTACAAGTTTGGAATTGGTGCAGATAAGGCTATTTTACTGCACATCTTTTGAGGTTATTTTTGCCAGAAATAGTAATCTGTAACTACATTCACCTCTTTAACTCCACTTCTGGATATGGAAATTACAATAATTCAGTAGTCCTTATCTACAAGCCTTCACCTGTCTCAAGAAAAAACAAGGCCCACCACTCACACCTGCTTAGCAAGACAGGCAGAACAATATCCAGCTTTGTAACAGAAGGTAACTTCTCCCCACCAGGAGAATTTTCTATCAGCTAAAAGTATCCACAATTCAGTAACTTAATACCATTTGAGCATCTGAGTGCTCATGTAAACCCAAGTCAATGACCCTGTACCTTCTCTATTGCAGCTCTCCATATTCCTAACTGGATCAAAAAAAAAG